TCCGTGAGCGGCGAGCGGGCTCCGGGCGGCCCCCAGTCCCTGCCGGGCACCCTCACCCCGGTCCCCCCGCCGCACAGCCCTCGCTCAGCCTGCCCGCGCCCTCCCTGTGCACCCCGCTTCCTCACCTTGCACCCCAGTCCCTCGCCGTGCACCCCAGCACCCTCAGTGGCGCTGGTCCCTGTCTGCGCACCCTGGTCCCTTGCTGTGCCCCCGTCCTTCCCTGCGCACCCTGGTCCCTCTCTGTGCACCCCTCACCATGCAGCGCAGTCCCCCTCTGTGCACGGGGCACCATGCTCAGGCTCTCCCCCCAGCCCACCAGGCGCCTCTGCTCCGTCCCTTTGGTTTTCCAGCCCTCCCTGTCCAGAGGAAGAGGAGCTACAGAGGCACAGGGCAGGGTCCCCTTCCTTGGGGGACTGCCTCACCAGCCACCCAGCCAGGGATGCTCCACAGCTGCATCTGTGACAAGAGGAAGAGACCAGGCAGGCTGTCCCCCAGTGGGACACTCCCCCCCCCCCTGCCACTAGCAGAGGGGTGGCCAGGGACAGCCCCACTCCAAAGGCAAACATCCACAGTGTATCACAGGCAATATTTCACTGCTGCATTTATTGCCTGGACTCCCCCTGTTCTCCATCAGCCAGGCGGAAAATGGCCAGGTAGAGTCTGCCTCTGCCTCCCTGCTTTGGGGCAGGGCAGCGGTTACCGGTGTTTTGGAGAACCCCAACCCGCTGCGGCTCAGACCCGACACACTCGCTTCGCCCACGCACGGCGGCCGAGAGCAGAGCCAGATGGCGAGACGCTGCACTGCCCGGCCCTCGCTCCGGAGGGCGAGCGGCCTTGGCCAAAGGGGTACACGCAGCTCCGCTCCTCCTGAGGGCCCCTGTTCAGGCTCCAGAGCGGGCAATTTTTTCACTATCAGCTATTTATACAAATACTGGAACTTATAAAACAGGCACTTCCCAAATATGGTATTTTGAAGTTTCAGCCAAATGGGGGAATGTTGACAAAGAAGAAACAAAAATTACATGTAAAAAAATTATCCAGTTGGCATTTCTTCCCATTCATGAGCTAGCAAAACAGAGCTTGATTTTTACAAGCTTGCTTTTTACAAGATTGTTTTGGTTTTTCGAAGTCAGATGAGTGCTTGATGCAACCCCCTTCAGCCCCTAGCTCTTTCATTAGTTGCTGGCTTGGACTGAGCCTTGGACTTACCATTTACAGTATTGTCCATCGTTGCACTCGAACGATGCACGGCAGAACCAAATGTGCATGAGAAAAGTCGGGGTCTCCGCGAAGCTGCTATCCACGCAACGCCCGCACAGATTGTCACACAAAGCGGCAGCTGGGGCGTCACTCTGAAAAATAAAGCAGAGGCATTTGTGGGAATGTCTGCAGATAAGACTGAGGGCACTTGGGCTTAGCAGAGAGACTGGGCATGGCGACAGGAGGCCTGGCTCTATTCTTGGCCCGGCCACGACTCCGCTGGGTGAGCCCAGGCGATTCGCCTCCTGCCTTCGCCAGCTGCGCAGAGCAGGGCTGCGCTCGGCCACGAGCGACTCCGGCGAGCTGCCGGCAGCGCGTTCTCCCCATTTGGGAGCTTTCAGCTGGCTTGAAAGAAAATACCCCTTTGGGCCTGTTGGCCAAGTCCCACGCTGGTGGAACGCTGCTCCTCCAAGAGGTACCGCTCCATCGTCCTCAGGTCAAGGCTTTGCCCGCCTCACCTTCACCAGGGCTCCAGCAGTTTCTAGGAGAAACGGCCTCAGAGTCACTGCAAATCAACCGCAATCGCTTGAACCCTGGCTTCATCCACAGCAGCCGTGCGTGGGAGCTGCCGCGTGTCCGGGGAGCACTGGTGGGCCATACCCGCTCATGACCTGTCCCGCCTGGGGGACGTTCCCACGAGGCCCCGAGGCAGGATGGATAGGGACGCAGCGGGACAGAGGCGGCCGAGCCAGGCACTCAAAGCACCGCTTTCCAGCACTTAAACAAGATATTTTCCTCTCGGAAAAGCTGAAGCACAAAGATACAGGTCTCATTCAGAGTGAGCAAGAGCACCCTGAGCCCAATCGCCTCTTCTCCAGGCATGAGCCACCCGCCACAGTGCTGGGGACCCAGCGGGCATGCACAGGCCCCCTGCTTGGGGAGAGCACGCGTATGCCATGGATGGGAGCAGCCCCTTTGGCTGTTGCTGCAGGATAAACAGCGGGTGATTATAAATAGCTTTTATAGCGAGCGAGAGTCAGGGTGGGTTAGGGAAATCCCTGCCGGCAGGGCTGGGTGCAGGAAGGAGCAGCGCAGCTCTCCAGTGGGGCACACGCAGCGCTCCCAGCTGGTGCCCACTGATGTGCGGCCATTGGCTTCGCTGGGGAGGAATGGGAGCAAGAATCCATCTGAGCTGGTCCCAAACAGCCTCCGAGGGGCATGGGGGTCAACCTGGCCCAGGTGGGAGCAGACCCGTGAGAGAAGGGATCAAGCAAGGGTTTTGTCAGGGCTGGGGTTCCTCCCTGCAAGGGGTCAAGGACCTCCCCCCCAGCACGAGGTTCCTTGCAACAACCAGCACAGAGTTGTCCTCTCCTTCCAACAGCCCAGCCTGGCACATCTGGGAGCTTGTTTTGGGGGACAGTGCTGGTGACAGCCCACCTTGCTCGGTCAGGTCCCCTCCTTCACCAAGGGCTTCCCACAACCAGCATGTTCTTTTAGAATAAAGGGGAAGATTCCCCCCACCCTGCTCCCTCCCAGCACCCTTGCTGCACCCATGCTTTCCTCCCTGGCAGCTCAGCCTTCACATTTCACTCCTGAGGAACTAATTTGGGATCATCCTGAGGCAGCAGGGCACAAGCTCACCTCTTTGCAGTGTTCTCCAGCAGGTACATAGGCTTAGCCCACCCTGCAGCTGCAGCTGGTTAGGTTCAGGGTCTAACCAGCCTTCCTGCCAGACCCCTCTGCTCCCCCACACAGGGCAAGGGGACCTGGCTGGCCCTGGCAATCCTGAGCCTCAGTCAGGTGTAAATCACCCGCACCAGATCTTACCTGCACAATGTTTTTAGCACACTGGTACTCCTGCTTAAGTGCATATCAAGTCCCTGCACAGTTTAATCCCTGTCCCACACTCTTATCCACTGCAAACAGCTGTATGCACACAACACAACCCTGATTAAGTGTTTAAGGCTCACACATCGCTCTGGTTCTGTTAATCCGCCTTACCAAGTGCATAGGATAAGGCACTGCCCGAGACATGTGAAGCAGATAATCAGCGGCTGCCGTTCAGCAGACAGCTTGTGACAGCAGCTTGGCAGACATGAGCTCTCACTTCCTCCAAACGATTCACAGGCTGGAAGCATCACTGGAATTCGGAAAGGTGAAAACAGCAGTGACATGGCTGAAGCAGCAGCACTGGTGTCGCAGGGTTGCCCTGATAGCCAGGGTGGCTCAAGAAGTCATCACAGCTCATGGGGCTGCCCAGGCTGCTCCCACGGCTGGCCCTGGCAGGGACACAGGAGAGCCTGGGCGTGGGGAAGGTCAACGCCTGAAGAGTCAGGTAACGCGCTGGGTTTAGGGTGCTCTGTTGGACAAGCAGCCTCCTTCAGACCTGCAAAACAAGCTGCAGATGTGGGGCTGACCCTCCCACTGCCCATCACTGGGCCTGGCTGCATCCAAACAGGGGCACGCACCAGCGTACCTGTGCTAGATGTGCATGGATACAAGGACAGGCCATTTTGGTTTACCCCAGAAAAGTCCAGCCTGGGCAGGCATGCAGGCAAAAGCACACGCCCAGCCCCTCTTCGTACTAAGGGCTCAAAGCTGGACAGCAGCAAGGAGGATGCGGTGCTGGCTATCAGATCCCTGCCCAAGCTCCCATGACCTGCCAGTTCAGCTATTAAGCACAGTTTTAATCCTCATCTTCCATTCACAATTGCATCCATGAGCTCAAAGCCAGCTGGGCGCTGAGATCGCAGGCAGGCACCGAGGAGGGGTCAGCAGTTCAGCAGTGAAGAGATGACATCCCAGGGAAGCAACAGGCAAACACCAGCTTGGGCTCCAGCACTGTTAAACGCAGCACATCCAAACTCTGCCAAGGCTGAGCCAGGCTGATGCTGTGCTAGGATAAAACAAAGGCTTTTTATAGCTGGGAACTCGTGCTCTCTTCCCCTGGCACGCTGCTCACATATTCGCTGTTAAAGAACAAGCAATAGAAATTGGCACCCAGCAGGAACCTCAGCAGCCACCAAGAGCTGGCAGCACCTCTCACTGCCCACAGCCAGGGCATGAGCCTGCTGGCTGCATCTCCCTGTTGCTCTCCCACCAGGACAGGTTTTGGGTTAGCTCTTTTATCTGCATCTACAGGAACGGGAAACTTTTCACTTAGTTGATCAGGAAAGTCTGAAAATGCTCTTCAGATGTGCAGAAGAGCTCAGCACAGCCAGAAGACTGTCTCTGCACGCTGCTCATGCACTGGGGCTTGACAGGGGGTGTTAATTAATGGAAAAGACTTTAGCCCTACTACATGGCTGTAGAGCAACTGATCACCAGCAACTCACCCCACAGCCCCAGGACGTGAAGCTTCAGCAGTCTCCTAAGCACATCACTCTTCCCAATGGCAGCTAAGGGTAAGAAAGCAAATCTCACTGCAGCAAACAATTACACTGCAACATCTACCAGAGGTTTTGAGGTAGCCTTTCCATCCCCTCATGGGTACACAGAGTCAGGCAGGCAAGAGTCACTGTTGCACCCAAAGAGATGCAATGCAGCTTTGCACCAATAAGCAACAGTGCTAGCACCACACTGTAGCCAGGCCAGCATTGCAAAGCATTGCCCACCTGTGCACTTTGGAGCCAGAGGCACACTGGCACCAGTCCCCAGCACAGGGCAAAGGGCAAGAAGGGCAGAGGCAGCTGGGGAGGTACAGCTCCGCAGCCCAGAGAGAGCAGCCCAGCCCCAGCACCCTCTGCCATAGAGGCAGCATCCCAAGGGGCTTGTCAGCCCTCCAATGGGGCCAGGGTCCTGCCCTCCAGCCCTGCTTTAGGGCCAGCATCATGCTCATTCCCCCACTGCAGGGGGAAGAAAAGAGTTTCCAAGACACATGCACACTCTAGTAAAGTAATAGCATCCTTCCTTCTGGCATGGTTTGCATTTCCCAGCCTAACCAGGGCAACCTGGGTCTCCATTGAAGCTCTGGGACAGGTATGCAGGCTCCAGGGAGGTGCACACAGGCCAGTCATGCAGCAGGCTCAGCTCCTGCAGGGGACAAGTAGGAGTAACACCACCAATAAACCACCACCTCACAGCATGCAAACCCCACCAGCCCCAGCTGCTCACCCCACCACTCCCCCTGTTCAACCTTGTACAAAGGCCCTAAGAAACCTGACCTGGCACCCAGCACCAGCCCTACCCCAAGCAGGGGGCTGGACCAGGCTCCCCAGAGGTCCCTTCCCCACGCAGCCCTCCACAGGGTGGCGAGGCACAGCCCCTCTGCACCAAACCTGCCCCAAGCACAGCCCCCGCTGGGGCAAGCCACCAGCCCAGGCAGGGCTGCCCGCAGTGCCAGCCTGCTGCAGGGTGCTGAGCCCAGCCAGCACCAGCCTCCCCCCAAGCCCCCCCACAGCCAGGAGACCCCCAGCATGCCTGCTGGCCTTTTTATCCCTCCCGCCCCAATGCCTCAACGTCTCGCAGGTGGGGTGGACCAGGTGACGTGAGCAGCTCAGGCCCTGCAAATCTCATCACGTCTTTCAGCATTGACTCTCCCCTGCCAGGTTTGTTGGCATAGCTGGCGGGGAGGTGAGATTATCCGGGTTAAAGCGAAGACCCCGCACATGTTTGTGGGGGTATAAGGGTACATGGGGGAAGGGGCAGGCGCAGGCACTGACGCTGCTGCACGGACACATCCCCCCCAGCGCCAGGCAGGGTTCGGGATGGCGGG